TAAAAGAGATGTTTGGACACAGGAAAGAAGAAATCTAACATAGAGTAACACAGCAATGAGCTCATACTGCCAAGATTAAAGATAAGAGTCCTAAAACCAGTTTGCCTAATCCACTAAGTTTGCTTGTTTTAAAAAAAATTTACACTTCTGGGATATTATTGCTTTTTTTCACTGAATATTGACTTGATTTTTCCCTAGATCAAATGAAGTTATTTGCCTAAATTAGTCATCCTTATTTACTGCCAACCAGAGGTTTTATATATTTCACCAAGTTTGATATCATAAATCAAATTATGTAGAAGTTAGGCTAATTTATTTGAAGAAAATGAAGTCTTTCATTTTTTGATGATTTGATGAAATTAAGAACTATTCATATTCTCACTTTCTCTTCCAACCCGAAGGATATTTAGTGAGATTATTTTCCCAAATAACATTAAAAGCAATTGATGAACATCTCACATAGGCTGTAAGCTTAAGTCACATAAAGAAAACAATAATATCTTTATCCCTAATTTCCAGGATCTGGGAAAATCCCAGTAGCCTATGATGAAAAGCTAGTTGACTCCTCTGTGCCATTTCAGGGTTGGTGGATGCACAGATTCACAGTCCACATAAAGCAGGAAAATAGTGATGGATTTTTCCATCCTAGGCAGAACAGAAATTCACCTAATGCTTCATATTTTCTCTGAAAGTCTCTATTTCACAGCACAAAGTTAGACATGAGGCCTCGCCATGTGGCTCAAAGTTATGGGGCAATATCGGAGAACTAGGAATTAAGTGATACGTAGTTGACACTATGCCTCTGTCTCTGAATTCTATCTCACAAGATGAGAATCTTCAGTTTTCACAATTAAAATAACTTCCTAGGGAACAGTGGTCAGGCTGTGACATCAGCCATCCCCATTCAATAAAAAGTCCATCTTGAGGTGCTGCCATTTTGGTTTCAGTCTCTTCTCTGTGATTATTCCCAGCATTTCTTCTCAGTTTAACCAAAAATAACCAAAAAACAACAACAGCAAAACACTATGAGCCCACCCTACCATTAGAAAGTCACATGCTTTGTTACTTGTTCCACTATGTTGAAAATTTTGAAAATTTTTCATTAAGTCATGCCCTTTAAACCTGTTTTCCTTATAATGAATGCCATGAATTTACAACATAGTTCTTGGTATTGATGGGTGTCTATATTCACAGACTATATTTTAATCGCTATTGTTAAAGAGAAGATGATTGCCCCACTCAGGATTAGATATATGGCTCTGAGACTATTAATGTGGCTTTATAATTTGAGCTAGAGAGCAAAAGATATTGCCAGTCTAATTAGAATCAGCATTTCTTTAGTAACCAACATATGCATAGCATTATGATTTTTGTAAATCTATGTTCTTACTATTTTTGTGTTTCCTCTTTTCTTTCTCAATCCTAGATTTATGGCTTCAAAAAGAGCCTAGTCCTAGACCATAATAAGCAATATTTTTCTGCAAAGGGTCATATAGTAAGTATTTTAGGCTTGGAGGGCCTAATCACTGACACAATTATTGTTTTGTGGTTATAGTAGAAAGCCAGCCCTAGACAATATGTAAACAAGTAAATACTACTATGTCTTAATAAAAACTACTAAAACAAAAAAAAAAGATAATGGGTCATATTTAGCCAATAGGCCAAGTTTGCTGACCCCTAACCTCAACAAAAAGGTTAATGAAGGCAAAAAACTACCAGTATCCACTCTTGCATAACTACCACAGTGTATATTCAAATATGTTAACTGAATGAATAAAAATAAATTTTCGAAGGACCAAGAAACTACTCCAGATCAGTCATAATAACAAACGCATAATTTCCATACCTGTTGTTGCAGTACAAAGTACCCTATCAATAGAGAATAACTGGCACTGCAGTTTATCTCATACTTTGTATTAATCTCTGTCTCTCATTTTTAATTTATCACTGGATTATCTTTGAGGAATTTATTCTTTTTTTTTAAATACCACTAAAAGACGTGTTAAACTTAAGCTATGATGGTGCATATATTTGCCCTTTTAAACAGTGCTCCAAGTAGAAACAGGAAAATTGAAGAGCTATTTCTTTTGCAAGTGTTCCCTCTCACACGTTGTTTTAATTTTTCAATTTCATCAAGGCAGGTAGGCTGCCATCTGGTTGCTTCTTGACAGCTCTCAATGGTTTTAACTAAAACCTTGGCAGCTGATTTTTTTTTTCTTTTTAAATGAAGGCAACCAATGTTTTGACAAAATTTGACCTTGTGTCCCTAGAGAAATTATTGAGTTTTTAGAACTTGTTTTCAGACCAACTTTTCCCAGAAAGGATTCATATCCTCCCTTCCTTTTCAGGAACTCTCCCTTTTTACAGTCAACTATCACAACTGACAGTTTACTGACTAAAAAGGGAGGTTTTTTAATACAAAATAAACAAAATGGCATTGCAAGTAAGGCTTATGAAGTGATAAGCATAGCACTTTTTAAAGATATTATTACTAAATATCCTATCATAAAAAAGATTTCCAGATGCCAAAATAAAGGAATTCAGAATTATGATCTCCCAAAATAAAAGTTTTTTCTTTACTTATATAGATAACTGTTGGCTTTTAGATTTGTAGCTAAAATTTGTCATAAACAGAAGTCTACAGAATTTCTTAATTAAATAATAAATAAATTTTTTGCAGAGGAGGGAGTGTACCTGACTTCCATTTCTTTTTCTAAAATATCCTTTTCTTCAAAAATTTTTTGGACAAAGTCTTTTTAGAAAGGAAAATCAGCACTACATTAAAAACAAAATAGTTGTAGATACCTTATCCAACATTCAAATCCAGACATGCCAGGGTATTGAAACCATCTTTATTTATTTTATTTATTTATTTATTTATTTATTTATTTATTTATTTATTTATTTATTTATTTATTAAAAGTCTACAGATGCCTGGGTCCATATTAGGGGAAGGTGGGAGAATCTGTGGGTTGCTATAGGGCTGTTCTCCAGCTGGCCCTTGCTACCATTTCAGATTTCAGGACTCTTGAATCAGAACTCTCCCAGCAAGACTGCTACATCTGTGCAAGGCTTCAGTGATGACCAAAATGGCCCCAGATTTCTTTTCTCAGCCATAGGCAAATTATCTTTCCATTCTTTTGATATTCATCCAAAATAAGTTGCCAGCCACAAAATCCTATTTATTCCACCCTTAGGTCCAGCATCTGTCTTAAGAACCATAGACTCACTTTCATTTACCACTTTTCCAATCCCTGAAAACAAGCTGATGTTCACACACAGAGGCGTGTGCCTTTCATAAAACCACATAACAAAATGACTGTTTCTGATTCTGATGTAACAAAAACCCATGTGGCAACTTAAACATCTCATGCTCTGATTGCACATATAAGTATGTGCAAATATTTCTGGAGCCAAAGTAAGGAATTCACTGAAGCAGTATGTGATTCCATCACATTTGGGATGTTCGCACATGTAGGCACTACTGATTAAAATAGAACAAAGCAGCAATAAATATTTACTGAGCATCCGTGTGCCAGGTAATAAGAAAGTTGAATGAAAACATTTTTTTGAAAGAACGGTTCTAGTAAGTTATTTCAGTGGCACAATTAATTCATTGGTTCATTCTACTTCCCAATGAGTTGATTAATTCCAAGGAAATATTCTAGCAAAGTACATTATTTGGATGTAATAAATATTTGTTTCTCTTTTTCTATTTAACTGAGATTTTTAAAATTTTTTTTCTTTGCAGACTCAATAAAACTGTGACCTTTTTATATTGTACATAGCTGATCTTACATACTTTTGATAGCTAAGTCAAGTTTCCAACATGATTTAAGAGCATTTTTTTCTTGTTTCCCCCAGGCTCAGCTTATAAAAGAGTTTATATTATGATAGATGGAGAACTTACCAGCATGACCACAGCAGAGAAGAAGAGGTAGGGAGTCCGTGGAGGAAAGAAAGAAATAAAAATGTCTCCAAAATGTTTCCTGGTCGGCAACCTGGGAAAGTTGTGAAACCACACCTACCAAGATAGAAAATACAAAAGGAGCGTCTCTGGGGTGACAGAGACGGGAAATGTAACGGTTTATATCCAGATGTCCCCCAATCCTCAAAGCCTCATGTGCTCCTAGATGGAACCTAGAGGTGACTGGATTGTGGGACCTGATACCCATCACTGAACTAATCCACTGATGACTTTATAGCTAAATGATTTGGGAGCCTGGTGGGAGGAGGTGGGTCTCTGGGGGTGTGGCCTTGAAGGGCCTACTCCCTCTCCTCCCTTGTTCTGACTCTCTACTTCCCTCTGTTATGTCTCTCTTCCATGCCACCCTGCCTTGGAGTCCACTAACTGTGCACTGAAACCTCTACAAACTGTGGGCCAAAGTCAACCTTTCCTCCCTGAGAGTTGTGGATGTTGTATACTGTGTCTCATCAACAAGAGAACTAGGTAGGAAGAAATTATTACTGCATTCACAAACACACTGCCTCAGGACTAAATGCCTTCATGTTAAATACTGGACAGGTAAAAGCAAATAATGTTCTGGCAGGGCATGGTGTCCCACACCTGTAATCACGGGTACTCAGGAGAATAAGGTAGGAGAATTTCCTTAAGTACCAGGCCAGCCTGGGCTACATAAAGAGCTCAGAGCTAGCCTGAACTATACAGGAAATGCTCTTGTTCTCAAACAAGCAAACAAACAAACAGAAAAAAAGCCAGGCCTTGGAAATTTAAGACACTCTGCCCCTAAACAAAAATTTTTAATGCCTGTGCTTATATAGCTCAGTGGTAGAGTGTGTGCCTGCCATGTGAGAGGCCCTAGGTTTAAACACTAGTACCACAAACCGGCTTAAAAATACTCAAGAGTAAGGGCAATAAATATACCCAATTATTATTTCAAAATTTTTATACAGTAAGAGTAAATACAATATATGTAGAAATGCTCAGATTACGCACAATGATGCTCTATAAAAAAAATCACATAATTCAGTGGCTTTAAATGATTGGCATTTATTTAGTTCAAGATTCTGCTGGTGAGTCCTCTGCTCAGCAAGGATCGCTCATGCTCGTTCGTGTTCCTAGGGTCAGTGGCAAGCCTGGTTGGGTTGGCTTGTGATACGGCGGTGTGCAAAGCTCTGGCCACTGCTGTGTTCTCTGTGCCTCAGAAAGGCTCATTCTCAGGGTAGCGACAAAGCTGAATACAGGAGCATGAAGATCCCGAGGCCTCCATGTACTGAGCACAGCTTCGCTTTCACCCATCCAACTGAGCAAAGAAAGTTAAAGTTCTCTTTCACTTAGAATCGGATATTCATAAAACTACAGAACTGAATGATACTACAGTGATTATGTTCCCAAATCCTTTCACTGATCAAAACCTGAAGCATAAGAGAATATGGCTGATAATCAAATAACTAATAGTTATAAAGCCATGATAAAAATAAAGATTTTTCCAACGGTATCTAGAACCATACCCTCCCATGATCCCGTTCTACTGATACCAAAAAGCATTCAGCCTCTTTAAGTAACGTGTCTAAAAACTAATGACAGAGTCCCATGTACAACAGGGAGGGAGCTACTCTGCAGCAACAACTCAACACACAGGAGGGCAGAACACAGTCTCTGCTAAAAAGCTGGTCCTTCCTACCATAAATCCTTTGTTTGTTTTGAAAGGGAAGAGGGAACTGACTTTGCCCTTGTAATATTAAAAATTATCTGACTGCAAATCTCATTGATGACTGTTAAAAAAAACTTGTTCTTTGCAAATATTTGTATTCAGATTTTAGATTTTTTTTACCAAGGCATTCTAGCTTTTGAAGCTTAGAATCTCTCCTTCCTATTAATTGAAGCAAATTATTCTTACATTTTGCTTCTTGGAGCTGCTTCATGATTGAAACCACATTAGGTAAATCATTTGACATGAATTTGATACCCCTTTGGGAGCTTATTCATTCATTTAACATACATTCATGGAGTATCCACTGTGGTCTAAGACACACACTGCTCCTCAGCAAACAAAGGCAAGAGACAATTTCCCTTATTGTTAGAAAAGCTGTATCCTTCAATCTAAAATTCTAGGGAGTAATTAAAAGAATGTATTAAAATAAAAGTGGAGGGCCAGGGATTTAGCTCAATGGCACAGCTCCTGCCTGGCAAGTGCAAGGTCCTAATTTCTATCCCTTGTACCAAAAACAAACAAAAAAATGGATTGCAGCATTTATATTTGAGGCCCAAAACCATAAAAGTCATTTGACTACCCAGTATGTTCAGGCATAAACTCAGGGAGAACATTAAGAGTGTGGGAATGAAAGAGGCAGAGTTCACAGTCATTCCAGTGTAGATTTGACAATATTTTGTGACTGAAATAATGATTCAAGACAGAATAAGATGGGTGGTGGTCCTCCTAAACCAGAGATGACTAGAAAAATCAGAGTTTTAAGAGTGAACATAATTTTATTTGAGTTTGAGGCAACTGCAGATGATATAAAATTGATCTAATGTAGGAGATGTTATATACACACAAGCAATTAAATGCCGTCAAACTTTAGGACATACTCTACTTTTCAAGTTTGTTTTCTTATGTTACTCTGCAGACAACAAGGGAAAAAAAGAAAAGAAAAAGCGGTAGCTATTATCATCAGATCTCTATCATACTAGACATAGCAAGGTTTACTGCTTTTCAGAGGTTGTAATACACTAAACAAAGCAGAACAATTTGTTATAACAAAGTCACCCGACCTGGTCTCAGTTCAAACACTGACAGGGCAGCAGGCATTTTGAAATGCTTACAAAAGGCGTGCTGTCTTCAAAACATACTAAAAACCAAACAAAACCAAATAGAGGTGTCAGATGAAAGCAAACTTGGCTTCCTTTTAGGTCTGATGTGAAAACCATCAGTGGTGGTTCTGCTCTAGTTAATCTCTTGGTATTCATACACTGATTTCAACTGTACATTGTTTTCAGTCATTCAAACCCACATACCAGAAGAAAAACCCAAGATGAGAAGGAAAACAACTTCCATTAATAAAGCTGTTAAAGGGGCCTAGTTTAAAATGTTTTATCTTTGGCAGCAAGCTTCTATTTTTCATTTTGTATCATTAATAATGGTAGTCAACACTTCACAGTGCTTACAACATGTTAGGGTTTACTCAGATTAAATTGTCACAACCACCCATGAGGTAAGGACTCTAATCATCACTATGTTAAAGATAAAGTAAAGCACAGGCAAGTTAAGTAACTAGCAAAGGGTTCTACAGAAACAAGTGGCAGAGGGAGAATTGACATCCAGGTGGTCTGATTTAGGAACCTGTTCTTAAACCCCAAGCTATATTTTTTGTCTGCAATATAAATGGCATTTTTCTTCCTCTTTGTAGTTGAAGGTTTGCTCTAATGGAAACCACGGGAGTATAAAGTATAGGCCCCTTTATTTATATACTGTGCTAATCTAAACTGCCTTTACCAAGCTAAGCTAGGTGCCAGCCAGGAGTTCCCATTACTTCCTTCTTTTTCCAATTGTCTAATTAAAAATCAGTCCCTGCGGAAAGCTAATAGAATTCATCTGCTTGGGAGGAATTGGAGAAGAGCATGGAGGAGCCTGCTTTTCACAGCTGTTTCCGCTCTCCTTTTCTGTGGCTCCAAGGAACTAAAGACTGCCTGTCTGAGGAAGGCAGAGAGACAGGAGACGGAACTGCTTGGTCATCCTTCTGTCAAGTTCACATAAAGCATATGCAATTATTCCCATTTCCCAGACAGAATCTGGATCCAAGAGGATAAGTAATTTGCTCGAGATAATGAAGTCTTAATTTCAGCCACACTCTAACTACAAAGCCTAGGCTCTTGCCATGCTATGGAGAGGAGCAGGCTCAGAACAGGACAATTATGATGTGATCTCCGAATCTCATGGGACTTTCCTTCTGTAAACATGACGTGAGAAATTTTCTACATTTTCTGGATGGTGATGTATTGAGAAGTAGCTTTATGAAGTGATCTCTAGGCAACATAAATTTAGCCAAAATTAGAATACTCATATAGTAACAATAGCCATATTGTTTATTTGCACATATATATATTTGCTCACACACACATATATATATATATTTGCACACACACACACATATATATATATTTGCCTGGAATTCTTCTTTTTAAGTGTGTCTCAATGTGAATGTACTTGATTGACAGATATGTTCATTTTAATTGTGTTCCCTTAAAATAGTCCCAACACAACATAGCTATGCTTTTTGTCTCTGGGTTAATATATATAATAACAAAAAGAAATATTCCTAAGAAAAAATAAGTAAATAAAATGCATCAATTTTTAAATTTAACAAAGGTCTGCGTCAGGTTGTTGCAAAAAATAAATGGGATAGTATGTTTTAAGTGGATTAAATAATATATTGATAGCATGCCTCAGGTCATGAAAGAAGAAATGTCTGTTTTTAGTCCTGGTAGTGTTTGGCACAATATCTGACAGATTACAAATAACCAGTGAGTGGTTTTATTAGGGAAATAATGCACAATTTAAGTATTAAAAACTTCAAAGCACTACTGACCACAAATTTGTTGCTACTTAAAATGTTTTCATATTATTTTAAACAATTTAAATCAGAAGTGTTAATAATAAAGACATACATTTATAATCTTTCCATTTATTTTTAAACATGTTTTAAAATATTTTATTGCCTATATCCATTAAATACACATATTTTATTTATCATTAGATATTGATTAACCAGATTCTAATGTAGCGACAAACAATTCTATGTGGTATTCTCAGAGTAAAACAGCATCATTTTCTGCATTTTAAAATAGTTTCCACAAACATTTTTATATCACTTTCTGTTTTCTGAGATTATGAATATGCATAAAAATACTGATTTAAAAAGCAAAGCTCCAAACTTATTTGTAAGCAAACTTATTCTTGTAATGCAATCATCAGAATCATAAGAATTACAGTGACCACACACAGGCATCAAACCATAGTGATCTGTGGGCTGTCTAAGCCACTCTTGAAGAGAAGAGAAGAAAACAAGATTCTGTTGCATTTGTGACCTCTAGAGGCCAACATGAACGTGATATGTTTTATTCACTCAACAGTGACTCCAAATACAATCTTCAAGAGTTTAAGATTTATACGCATTAGAAAACTGAGCAAATTCAACAGAAGAAAGATTCCATTTTAAATTGATATGTTGCCTTGAACTAACAACCACAAACCACAAACCACAAATTGAAGTTTTAAATAATGATTTGAAAAGGCCTCAGACATTTGGAGAAACGTCATGGAAAATGAAAACCTTGCCGACTTCACAGTGGAGATGTCCAGGCTAATTACTCATAGGACAGAAATCCTCGTATTGAGGATGATCACGAAGAAATGCATACACTGGACCCTGGAGTCAAAACTCAATTCTAATGTTTGCTGTGTATGTGTGTTCTAGAAAAGATATTCACCAATCTGAGCCTCGATGCACTCATCCATAAATTAAAAAAGCATAGTAAAAATCTTCTTTACATTGTTGTCAGTAGATTAAAAGTAGTAAGACATTCTAAATGTGTCTTGAAAAGTGCCAAGTATTAAGTCAGTGGCACAAATTTTACTATGATTGTATTTTTCCAGACATTTTCTTTTACCTATAAATGATATACTTTTTTCACCACATGGATAGAACCAAAACAACATATTGATCCAATAAAGGTTGATTTAAGTTAAAAGAATCTTGAAGCAGGGCTTGTTACGCTCTGCTACATTATGCTGTTGTGCGTCAGCTCCAGGAACCCAGGCAGAATCAAGGGTGAAGCAGTGGTGATTTGTCTGCCTAATTATAATTGCTGCTTTGTCTTGAAGATAGATATTATGATATAACTTCTAAATATTAGGACATTTCTTCCCATCTCAACACGTTCAGCATTGGTGCCCACCCACCTACACATGTACATTACTACTGTTTAGCAGACTTTACTCTCATTTGTCTGCATTTCCTTGCTACAATCACTTCTCAGTTTATGGCTCTCTGATGTATGCTCATTTTGGGTTGAGTTGTGTCTCAAAAAAAAAAAAAATGTTGAATCCTAATCCTCCATAGCTGTGAATGTGATCTTACTTGGGAATAGCTTTTTGCAGATGTAGCCAAGTTAAGATAAAGTCATACCGTACTACCGTAGACCCTGAATATGGTCTGCAATTCTTCATAAGAAGATCACAGACATTCAGAGAGAGCACTATGTGACAATGGATGTGGAATTAAGGATGCATAAAAAACTGTC